CTTGATACCATGTGCTTTTTATCAATTCGTAGAATGTAGATTATTTGAATTTTTAGACTACTAGTAGACAAGAAGTATGTGGCCCTCCGCTATTTAGTGGTTAATTGAAATTGACGGGGGCAAAAAATTATGTCCTATTGCATGAGGTCTTTTCAATATATTTTTAGTTTACAACCGGTTCGATAAAATTAATAATAACCCATTTTATGACCAAAGAATCGTAAAGAAGAAGTCACGCCTTGTGGGATCCCATATTAATACCTTTCGCCCTATTTTCTTATTGATTGAAAATAAGGAGAGACAAAAGTGCAGCTTTCTTCAAATTAAGTTTTTGAATCCCACTCTAAATGGTAATGAAATTATCTTTCTACGTCCCACTACGAGATGAGACATGTGCAAATGGTCTAAAGCATTGTATGACCAAAGAACATTTTAGCACTACTGTTATTAAGTTTAACAATAGTCTAAGTCATAGCACTAGTGACATTAAATTATAAGTTCAACTAAATATAATGAATTATGATCAATTTAATAGACTGTGTTCAATATCACTATACTTACCAAAAAAACAGAGGAAGCACATCTACATGAATTAGTTTCACGGTGGCCTTACAAGTCCCTCACTGTAGCGCAGGCCCCACTCAAATGTATTTAAAAAAAAAAAAAACAATGTGCCCCCCCTCCCCCTGTTCCCCTTATGTCTAACCTGGCAGGTGCAAGCAGAGTTCAAATAGAAAAATGGAACCTATTTATGTCTGCAAGCAACTTTAACTTGTAAAGAAGTTATCTTCCTACGTCCCACTACAAGACAAGGCGTGTGAATGCGAATTTTCCTATCTGCTTTTGCGCCAATGATTCTAGAAGATACACCCCGTGGGACTCCAACTTTTCCAAGACATTATGAATTTAGATTATTATTTAACTAATTTGGAGCAAACAAAGGCTGAAGATGGTCCCTAAAAAAATGGTAGGTTTTGTGTGATTTTATTAATTATTTTAATTTGAGAAATGTTTAAATTCATTTTCCTTATTTTGAATTTTATGTTTGTTTTTGAAAACTCATTTTTGAAAATAACATACTATACACGTTTTGAGTGTTTTAGAAAATTAATATGAGCACTCTAAATTTTTGGAGATTACTCTAGAAATAATGATGCCTTAAAACTCGAATGTCAAAAAGAAATTGGATGCAGAGTGCAATGGTAAGTAATCAAGTATGGGAGAGTTGCACCATCGTTCCTCAATTTATTGTTTCAGAAGAAAGTTGGTCCTCAACATTTAATAAGAAAAAGTTGCATATTCTAAGTGGATCACTTAGAGGGTAGTTGTGACGTGCGATAGCAGCGATGCACGTGTAGTGGTGTTGAATAAAATGCTTGATTGATTGATAATACATAGTGTTGTAAAGACAAAACAATTCGACAATCATGTTTCCTTGAACAAGATGTCTCTATAATATACTCGAGAAATCATTATTTTTAAATTTGAGGACTAAAATTGTTTCTTTTTAAAAGAACAAGATCAACTTCGTATAAAAGTTATAGATTGACATTGATAAGATGGGATTTTCCCTAGAATTATATAATTTATTTAAAATATCATTTTATTATGATAAATTCTATAAACTTGTGGATGACTGTGTGGATATTTGATTAAATTAAAAAGTAACACTTTAAAATTACTTGATTCCATTTTGAATTTTCTTACATAATTTCAAACATTCAAATCTCACTGTATTTCAAGAAATTTTTTAGAAGAGAGTTAGCACTTTGCATATAAGCTTCAGTCTGAGAAACTCATCACCTTTACAGATCATCTCGTTTTTGCATGTGAGTGCTTCAAATTTTCAATTTCACTAATTTGTTCAACTAAAAATTTTTGTTTTCAAATTGTTTTTTTAATTATTCACCTAATTATTGAATATCCAACTTTATAAAGTTGAGATTTGATATTGGTACCTAGAATCTGAAGTATGACAAATTTCGTGAATGCCAATTAATAATTTAATTAGAGTTGTACACAGAGCCACCCAATTCAAACTTGAACCGGACCCAACTAAATAGTTCAGTTTGATTTCAATTAAAACCAGTTGGTTTGTTTCATCCCTATGTTTTCGAAGAATAAATTTTGTAATAGTGAATTTTAAAGAATAGGTCGTCAAAAAGTTGAAAAAAATGCTGAGTTACGTATAAAATTATTTTGTTGGTCAAATATATAATTATAAATGAGTTTAGAAAAAAATAATTTTCAAAGGATGGATACTCAAACAAGGGCTAAATGGTTTCGATTGAATTAGAAGTTCTAGCTACAATATTAATTTTAATTCGGATCCAAAAATATATTTTATATTCTTTCAATGAAATCATAACTTATTTAGAATAATTGAGAGTTTATTGTTTAAAATATTAAGATCAAAAGTGACATTCTAAATTTTTTGGAAATAATGTCGGTAACTCTCATCTTGAACTTTCACAGTAATTGCCATCGGTCCCACTCACATTTCATTGATTTTTGTCAAAATAGAAAAAAAAATGCACCAAATAGGGGCTGACAACGATTTACACGGTCATCATGCATCCTATCATGTGTAAATTTACTTATAAGTGCTTTTTTTTTTAAGATAGATTCTACTTAAAAATAGTTTTGAGTTTGATAACGTAATTAGTGATAAGACAGTTGAAATGATCGAAAGTTAGAAACAGTTGATTAATAAAGTGAGGAGATTTTATCAACCTAAAATTAACTGTGAATTTTTACTTAATTTTTTATCATTTTTTTTTTTGGCTGGAACCGGGGTTTACTTCTAGCATTGGCAAAATTATAATATATTTGGAATATAAACAAAGTATTAATTTAAGAAATTATAATTTTAGTAATTTATTTCACAGTTTTAATAAACTAGAACTAATTTATTTCCACCTTTTTTTTTTTAGCAAAGGCAACCAATTCTATCAACTATTGTAAAAAGAATTTTCATTTTTTTTTGACAATTTCTATGTAAAACAAAGTCAAACGAATATTGTAATTTTTTCTAATTGTTTAAATTTTTTTTNCAAAGTCAAACGAATATGGTAATTTTTTCTAATTATTTAATTTTTTTTTTTTTACTTTTTGGTAATTAGAACAAATTCTAGACGTATTGGTAGAAAAATTATCACTTTAATGGACAATTTTTATAAAAAAAGAAGCCAAACGGACATCAAACTTTCAACATTTTTCAAGTAGAAAATTATACCAATCAAACACAATTAATTACAATTCCCAGGAAAACATTTTCTACGTGTACACACAATTTTTTACATAATGTTTTACACCCCCCTCACATGGAGGGGGGCCCACGATTATTTTATTATGTGTGGGCCCCCCTCCATGTAATGAGGGTGTAAAACATTGTGTAAAAAATTGTGTACACATATCTTTATTCAAATTGTGTACACATAGCTTTATTCCTTCAAACATAGTCCACCGTCCTTGATTTGAATTGCATCAACAATCCTGATTTGAAATAAAGAAAGAATATAATGGTTGTAAAGGGCCACATGGGCCCTGTACTCACATGGGTACGACTTGACGCCCCTATAGGTGGGAGGCTTGCTCCGTGGCGCCCCTGTATAGGGCCATGTAGCAGGATTGATTGAAGAAATGTCTACTCCCAATCAATAAGGTTATTTGTACAAAGTTGAGTTACAAAGTATATTGATAAAATTCAAATCGTTGATTTCAAATGATTTAAAATCTGTTTTTACAATAATTGGGGTAGATTTTATTTTGTCAAATAACTTTTTAATCCAACTTTGTACATGTAGCATAACTCACTCCCGACTGCTGATAAAATCTCCTCACTTTATAAAGGTATGCCCGTGCAATGAATCATATAGCCTTAAGAGATATAAAGAAATGGCTTCTCCCCATGTACTTCTATTTCCCTTCATGTCAAAGGGACACACAATCCCAGTCCTCCAACTAGCCAGCCTCCTCCTCCACCGTGGCGCCTCTGTCACTCTCTTCACTACACCGGCTAACCGCCCTTTCATCTCTACCGCTCTTTCCGACACCACAGTATCCATCATAGACATCCCATTCCCGAAAAACATTGACGGCATACCTCCCGGCGTGGAAAGTACTGATAAACTCCCTGATATGTCCCAATGGCCTCGGTTAGTCATTGCAGCAAAACTCATGAAACCCGGCTTTGAAAAGGCATTAACTTCTCTCCCACGCATCAGTTTCATGGTTACAGATGTATTTCTCGGCTGGACACTGGAGTCAGCGCAGAAATTTGGCATCCCAAGACTTGTTTATCACGGCACGAGCAATTTTTCCATGGCTCTTTCATTTGATGCATCTCCATCTCAGCAGCTTCTTATAGATTCGGGGTCGGATAATAAAAAATTATTCACGATTCCACGTTTTCCTTGGATTAAATTTTCAAAAAATGATTTTGATCCTGCGTTTGTAGATCCAGAGTCCCAGTATAAAAAACATATTGAATATATCTTGGAGCAAGTTCAAGCGACGGGAAAAAGCTATGGTATAATTGTTAACAGCTTCTACGAGCTGGAATCAGTTTACGCTGATTACTGGAATAGGGAAGTCAAGCCGAAAGCATGGTGTGTTGGACCACTTTGTCTGGCGCCGGCGCCACAAAACAAGGCGGAAAATGGCCAAACACGGTCGTGGATTCAGTGGCTTGACAGAAAGCAAGAAGAAGGAAAACCAGTTCTGTTTGTGGCATTCGGATCACAAGCAGATATATCAAGAGAACAAATCAAGCAGATCAAAACTGGGTTGGAAAATTCCGGCGTCAATTTTTTGTGGGTTGTTCGGAGTAAGCTAGCTGAAGATGATGACGAGTTTGAATATCAGGTAAGAGACAGAGGAATGTTGGTGAAAGAATGGGTTGATCAGAGGGAAATTCTTGAACACTCTTGTGTTCAAGGTTTTTTAAGCCACTGCGGATGGAACTCAGTAATGGAGAGTATATGTGCAAATGTACCAATACTGGCATGGCCGATGATGGCAGAGCAACCGCTGAATGCAAAGATGGTGGTGGAGGTGATTGGAGTTGGGCTGAGGGTTGATACTTCTGATGGTTTTGTGAGCTGGGAGCATTTGAAGAAAATGGTGAAAGAGTTGATGGAGGGAGAGATGGGGAAGATGGCGCGGAAGAAGGTGAAGGAGGTCGGTGGCGCCGCTGCAAAAGCAGTTGCAGAAGGCGGGTCCTCCTGGAAGGCGTTGAATGAGCTCATAAATGAGTTGCATGAAGAAACGGAGGTGGCGCCGCTGCAAAAGCAGTTGCAGAAGGCGGGTCCTCCTGGAAGGCGTTAAATGAGTTCATAAATGAGTTGCATGAAGAAACGGTTTAAGTGAAGAACTATGCTTGGTTTTATTTACCATGAAGTTTTTAATTTTGAGTAATGCTGTAATTTTTATTTAGTTATTTTTAGAATAATATTTTCATAGTTAATATAATTAGCTTCATTAACTCATCAGACATAATTATTTCATTTTTTAACTTAACTAAAAATTTAAAATACAATAAATTAAAAAAAATTCTTAATAGTAGGATTTCAAGATGCTTTCAATTTGTGAAATTTTAGATCTCTAAAACACTATCAGGCTCTACTATTTATTGAACATGACACTGGCATTTTTAAAAATGGTTACAATAACTAATGGCTATTGAAAATGTATAAAACTCAATGTTTCGAAAACCGACCCGATCATTGACCCGAAAAAGGTGAAGGGTCAAAATGTTCAACCGGGGTCGAACTGAATGTAATAAATACATACAAAAATAATAAAATACTATGAAAACAATATATTTTTTTAAAATTTTCATATTAATAATTCAAAGTAAACCTATCTTTATTAATTAGATTCATTATCCTACAATTAGTCTCAATACTTCAAAAATTAAAAAGCAATATGTTAAAATAATTTACTTTGTTAAATTAAAATAGTTTAAATTTATAGAAAATGATATCTAACATTAATATATTAATAATCAAGTACAATTTAAGTTAAATTTGAAAGTTAAATAAATGAAAGAATGAAGGTGAATATTACAATTTAATTAGTTGTGATTCAAAATCAAATTAATCAATTAGACATACATTCGAAAATGATTTTGATGGGCATTTTAACTTTTTTTTTGTTATGCCACTACTCCACATTAGAAGTTTATGAAATTATTAGAGTTAAGAGCATATAGAAAATGCACAATCCCACATTGGAAGCTTATGAAACCTTTGGAGAGAAGTGCATCTATAAAATGAGCATGACATCCATTAATTCTTCATGGTCCTTTGAATTGTAAATTATAAAGTCCATTCATGAAGTTAAAAATTTTTAATCTAAAAAAAAAAAAATTTCATGAAAACCGCTCAAAACCACAATCGGTTCATCGAGTTACTGTTGAACCTTCCAGTTCGGCGGGTTTTAAAAGATTTTGTCAATAATAAAAAACCGTACATGATTTGGCCCGGTTTCCGGTTTTAAAACTAAGCCCCTCTTTGACCACTATTTTTTCTGTCTTTTTTTTTTTTTTTAAATACTTATTTTCAATCATACATTCACACAATAAAATATTTTATACTTAAGTCCAAAATTTTTCCTATTTTTTAACCGTTCATTCTCTTAAAAATCATTATTCAAAACACCATTTTCTACAAAAAAAAAAAATGATTATCAAACAGTGGCTAATTTATTGTCATCTACTAAATTGTTGGTGCGATGTTAGCAGCACGAGAATTGTTGATGGTAAAAATTTCCTCTTATCTAATCTGGATTTTCTCCGCTTAAACTTTTTTATTTTGATATTTAAACTGGAGTAAGAGGAGAAATGACTATTTGGGAGGGATTCGTTGATCCTAATTCTTAGTGTCAGCAAATTATTGCAGTTTGTGGGAATTTGAACAAAGAAAACCATGAATCAATCTATTGAAATTGAGAAATCTTCGAAATTTGCAAAAATGAGTCAAGTGGAATTGAATCTCGAATAGGTAAGGGTGCTAGAGATTGGAAGTAAGAATGTCAGCTTTGATCCAGTTAATACGAGACAAGTTAAAAGCCGCGGTAGGAGAATACTAAAGTAAAGTTATAAGAGGATTTGTCCCCTGCTAAACGTCAACGTCTGTGAAAGGAGTTGGCAGCAAAGACCATACACAAAATGGCTGAGGAACTCAAGTCATTAATGGCGGAACACGATGCTCTAAACCTAAAAATAAAGATCCTCATAGGCAAGTCTAGTGAGCGAGGTACAGTTTCATAAACCTTTGAGAAGATAGGTAATCAACGATCTCTAATCTCTTAAATTAAATCTATAGAACATAAAAGTGAAAATTCGGGACATGAAGATGATGTAATAGTCATCCAGATAATAATAGCTAGAGAATGCTTTCATCATATGAAGAAACTTTTAATTCAATGCGGAAATATAATCCATGTATTCCTATGCCAGAGCCTCAATACTTCACCAGAGCCAGCCCAGTCCTTCAAGGACATGCCACTCTGTTAGTTAAAGTAGGAGATGAGCTTTAGGGATGAAATAGGTAAACACAATTATATCTCTCCATCAATCTAATATCAGGTTTTACACAAATAAAGGCGAGTTTCCTTAAAATATAATCAAGGAATTCTATGTAGGGATCATGAAAGTAACATAAGAGAAAGAGCCTTAAAAGCTCAAAAGAAAAATGTAGTTGGTGTGGTCGAAATGAATAATCTTGGAAGAAACTTGAAATCAATGACATAATCGATCCCACATAACTGATTGCATGTCAAAGAGGCTCAGGTTGAAGAACTAAAAAGTATGTCCGTTAGTTCCGAATATGCAAGTAAGGCTCAGAAAAGTGGTAAAGAGTTGAATGAACCTATGAAAGGTTTACTGAAAAGTTTTATGATGACAAACCTAGATGTGTTCGTCTAGAAACAAGATAACATGGTGGGAATAGATCCCAAGATGGTGTATCATGCATTGAAAATTAATCCCATGATAAAATCTAAAATGCAAAGGATGTGGCCAATGAGTGTTGAATTGCTTTAGTTGTGGCATCACAAAAATTGGGACCATACTTCCAAAATCATAGTATTGAAGTACTAACTAATTTTTCACTAAAGTAAGCATTGCACAAGTCTGATACGTCAGGAAGATTAATGAAATGTACAGTAGAATTATGAAAATTCGAGATAAGTTTATACAGGGTGATCGCAATCAAAGAACATGCATTGGCTAATTTTATTGCAGAACTGACAGATGTTCCTACTATTGAGGAAGAGCCCGTAGAGCATGGAAATTATTTGTAGCAGGATCGTCAAGGGACATTGTCTTCGAAGCAACATAATCCTAACAAACTCAGAAGGGCACAAATTGAATTGCGCATTAAGGTTCGCGTTAAAGCAACCAATAATATTGTGAATAGTAAGCTTTATTGGATGGCCTATAACAATGTAGGATACAGGATAAATTCTCGTAGATGCAAGAAATCATATTTTATCTAAGAAATGATATGCTCCATAAAGATAAAATGTAGCACAAAAATTGCGGATAAAAGCCTCAAAATATACACTAGAAGATAATATCTTATTTAAGTGAATGTACACATTTTCTCTACTTAGATGTATAAAGAGATAGGGCAATGTATATAATGAAAGAAATACATGATGGTATATGCGAAAATCATGCTCGCGACACTCCCTATTGCAAAAGGTCTTGAAACAAGAATATTATTGGTCAAATATAAGAAATGATGCAATGAGTTCAACTAAAAAGTGTGAAAAGTGCCAGAAGGTTACATCCATACTACGACAACCTATACAAGAGCTGGTCACTAGTAGTTGTCCCTGGCCATTCGCAAAATGAGGCATTGATTTCGTTGGACCGTTGCCTAGAGGAATGCTAAATATGAGATTAATAATCGTAGTAGTAGATTATTTCACCAAGTAGATAGAAGCGAAACCCTTCGCAAATTCACTGAGGCTAATACTTGCAAATTTATATGGAAAAACATAATTTTTTGGTTGGGAGTACTGAATTCTATAATCTAAGATAATGGAACAAAATTCCAAGGGAAAAATTGAAACAATGTGCAACGAATTGAGGATCCAAAGACACTTTTTCAATCCATATTACCTCCAACCTAATGGACAAGTAGAGATAATTAATAAGATATTAAAAAGCATCTTGAAAAGAAAGTTGGATATAGCGAAGGGGTTATGGGTAAATGAACTACCACAAATTCTACGGTCTTATCGCACCACTATGAAAATCGCTGCCAGAGAAAACCCTTCATCCCTAGCTTGTAGGATGGACGTGATGATGCCAGTCGAAATAAATGTAAGTTTACCTGAAGACTAGAACATGACGAAGAACGAAATTAAGAGGCTATAAACGCAAACCTAGACCTTCTAGAGGAAAAGTGAGATAACTCTCAAGTTAAGCTCGCCATATACTAGAAAATGATGAAAATATATTTTAATTCCAAGGTTCACAGGTAAAATTTCAAAGTATATCGCAGGTAAAGAAAGGAGCTGGAGTTTACTAAGTCCAAAGTGGGAAGGACCATATACAGTAGTCAAAGTTATTAAATTAGGAACATAGCTCATAGGAGAGGATGTATAACTTATTAAACATTTTTAAAATGACATATACTTGAGAAAATATTATTAATGAAAAGCAAACGGACAAATTTGATTGATTATTTATAATTTTGTGTTCTTAAGCGAACCAAATATTAAAAATAGAAATTTCTCATTGATATAAAGAAAGATTACAAAGAAAATATATTTACAAACTAAGTCTGGCATATACAAAGATAAATTCTCTAGAAGGCATATTCTACGAACTAATCTGTTTGGCACATCCATTGTTCCTAATCGCAAGGATTGCTTGAATCAGAAGATGAGGGATAGACTGAAAGCATTTTGGTATAATCAAGTTTGGCTAAATGGAATGTGATTGTTTGATATCTCATGGTGCATCAGCGGTCAGTTCCATCACTTTTCCACCATAGACGATCTCCCTCAGATGCACATATGTAGAGAATGCAAAAACATGGCAAATTTGCCAGATTCTAAATCATTCTTTGCTAGCTCTTGAATCTATGGACCAACATCAGAGTCACAGATGTACGACCTAGCACGATGGAAGAAAGATTAGGTTAATTAATTCGAAAGTCTCGTTCGGTAATATGAGATGCTAACATAAGAACGAAGAAAAATTCATCAAGAAAATATAGTGGAATTAATAATAGTGATGAAAAATCATTAACAATGTTTCTAATGATTCTTGGAGAAAGAAAAGATCCCTCATCATAATTTGCAACAAG